CCCCAAACCCCCAAAACCCCAAAACCCCAAAACCCCGAATTAATTTTAATTATTGAAAATATAAAAATTTGGTGACGAGCTTTAGTAAATCCTATAGCTTTGTTTGTAAGTATTGCTTATGTTACTAGTGCTCTTGGTGTCATCAGTATCTCTCTTAAGAATATCTAACCTCTTTCTGTCAAATATTACTGCTCCTTGAGACTCTTTAATAGCAGGGAGCTCGAAATCAGATGATGGCTGGGTGAAAACTCCCTTCATTCCATAGCTATTGTTTTTAAAATCTGGCTTATTAAGAGAATCTTTGTAGTATTCATATCCTTTTTGCACCTTAAAGCTAAATGGATTACTTTCCATTTTAGGCATAGAGTTATCTGCCCTTATTGCCTCTGGACTATACTTACTCAGTCCTGCGACCTTCGAATTATTCATATTTTTCGAAGCTCTAATATTCGGTGTCTTTGAATGCATTACTGGCTTCTGTGGAGATTCATAATATGGTTGTTGATTTCCAGTAGCTTCTAAGTCCTCTTCAGCCTCTACAATGACCTGATCATTTTGATTGTCATTCTCATACTCATATTCGTCATCATATCCATATTGTTCATCATCTCTTTCTCTACTTCTTTCTCTCTGAGAATGGCCAGAGTGTAGACTATTGATTTCTGATACTTTAGATCTAATCTGGGAGATTTTCTCAAGACTAGTTAACCTCTTCTTAAATTTCTTGATGCTGATGTCTTTTGATCTCACCTCATTCTTACTGCTCTTGACCATGTCTTTGAGAATAGTTACTTCTCCTTTTAAGTCTCTTATCTTTTTCTGAAGTTCTGTTATTTTACCCTGCTTAAGCCTATTTAGCTTTGAAGTAAGGGTTGTGCTCTTAGACTTATATTCCTTCACTTGTTGCTCTAAGTCCTTAACATAAGAACCTCCTTTCTCAAACTCTTCTTTGTAGTGTTTAAGTTCGCTGGTGAGCTTTGCAATTTTATTAGATTTATTTTCGATGTCTTTGCTCTGCTCTTCTATTAAGGCTTCTAGCTCATTTTTGAACTCCAGTAGTCTCTTCATGTCTTCATGCATCTGAGCGATCTGGTCTTCTTTATCACCATCAAACTTATCATGTGTATCTATTTGCTGGTTTTGGGTTTGTTCTAGTTCATGCATGAGGTTTCTAGATTCTTCCTCTGCTCTTTCAGCTCTCATCTCTAGATCTTGATTATTATTCTCAAGAACGTCTATAAGATCCATCTTTTCCTTAATTTCAAATCTTAGCTCATCTAGCTGATTCGTAAGCTCAGAGTTATTTTGCTCATGCTGTTCTTGGAGTCCGTATAGCTCTTCCTTCATTGTATTCATTTGTTCCTTCATCTTCTTTGCCACTTTCTTTTCTTGGATTAATTTCTTTTTCAGCTTGCTGTTCTTCTCGCTGAGTTCATTTGGATTACTCTCTTCTCTATCAAACTGGTCTTCTTCTGCATCTTCAGATGCAATAATGTTGAGATTGACTTGTACAAGCTGATTTTCATCAGAGTTATACTCCTCCTCAGAACTCTTGCTCTCCTTCTGAGTCAGTTTCTCTTGAAGCGTTTTAATCTCGATTTCATGATCAGCCTTTAGAGCATTTAGCTGGTTCTCTAAAGATTTCTTTTTACTCTCAATATGTTCCAGCGACGAGAGTTTCTCCTGTAGGAGTTTCATTTCTTGATCTTTGTTCTCAAGCTCTTGTTTAAAATTACCATTTTCAGAAGTTTTCTCCCCTGCTGCTTTTACTTGATCCTGGAGGCTATTTCTGAGTGGAGTCCATTTCCTGAATAGCCTCATCTTTACTCTTAATAACAGAATTTAATCTATCATTTTCACCAGAAAGGGTGGCTACTTCACTCTCTAGTTGAGAAATCTTGGTCCTTAACTCTTCAACAAGATCAGAGGTTTGTTCGTTCATCAATATTTAATATTCTGCAAATAAATTTAATAATTTTTTGACTTTTTCGGGGTTTTGGGGTTTTGGGGTTTTGGGGTTTTGGGG